AAAAATCTTTAAAAATGGGTTTTGGGTCAAAATGACCCGAGGGACAGATGAGGGTTTAACTAATAACATTTCTTATGATTATCAACGTTGAAAACAGTTGTGCTGCTTAATATTTTTGGTGGAATCTGTGACACATTTTTCAGAATTTTCAAAAAAATAAAAGTATTGCTTTCATTAAAAAAAATAAAAATCTTACTGTTCCCAAACTCTTGAATGTTTATCTAGAAGTGTTCAAAATTCTTGCTGTGCCTGAATGAATTTTATATCCATTATGACAAAACTAAGCCATTCAACAGTGCAACAGCACAACAGTAGGCCTACTTACGGTAGTGAAGACACCATGAAGCAAACTATCGACAGAAGTCCGAGAACAACACTGGCGATGTCTCGGCCACCCTGGGCACATTCACCCAGTCCATACCAGATCCACTCGATCCCGTGCGGGCAGAGAGAGCTGAAGTTCCCACCACCCGACATCACTGGAACAACAGCAGCGAGGAATCACAAGGAATGAAATCCACTGCATGCGCATAACGTTATCGCTTTCTGAAAACAGCCCAGGTGGAATTCTTATGAAAACAGATGTGCTCCTGGTGGTCAGGGCAGTGCTGTTTAAATACTTACGGAGCCAGAAGACATTACCAACACGTTAATACATGCATATACGTTTAGCACATTACCTGTGATGTAGTTTTCAGCTGCTGAGGTAGAATAGTAGCGGTATGTCTATTTTAGTCCGCAGATACCTAGAGAAGAAAACAAACAAGTCGTCAAAACAACGAGCTCATCGTTTAGCGCTGTGGTTGGCTAGTTGAGGCGCGACGTCAACATCAGCGAAGAAACCGGAAGCCTCGCTAGCAAGGGAGGGATGAGTCGCTTTGCGAATCGGTTCATTTGAACAGTTCATCGAAGAGATCCGGTACAACAAACAAAAAAACGATTTAGCTTGGTCCTTGAAATATGAAATGCTCTAAAATCACCACATGTGCCTTTTATTGTTAATATTAGTTTGATTATGGGGAAGTACCACATGCATAAACAGAAATGGGCCAAAGGAAAGACTATTTTTTTTTGTTCAAGGTAGAAATGAAACATTATGTTACTTCTTGGATTGACAAATAAAGCAAAACGCCCAAGGATTTTGTGTGAAGAGTCTCCCGTACCTTCCTTTTATTAAGTTGTATTAATACAATATGTAATAGTATGGGCCCCAGACAGTTAGCAACCGTGATTCAACTCATAGGTAATTTAAAACCGAAATATAAACATGAATTTAAATTAAACAATACTACAGTCGCTTATTAAAATCAGACCGTGTTCTATAAAACTGTCGTGTAATCAGGTGGAAAACATTTATTTGTAGCCTTTCGTAGAAACTCGAGAACCGCTCGAACGATTCGAATCTGAACCGGTTCGACCGATCACTAACATTCGACCAATTCAGCGGTTTCGAGTCCTAGCCTGTGTCGGTTTCACAATCACAGAGCAAAGAAAGAAACAGTGAAGCCCGAATATGAATTTAATATTTGAATATTTTCATATAAGAACTTTCACACTATTTATTTTGGTCGGGATCAGCATAGCAGTTTAGGCACTACATGGTGATCGACATAGCTTTCATTTTCACATATCGGTGTGAATTAGTGGGGGGGGGGGGTTGTTAAACAGTACACCATTGATTAACTGTGTGCCGCATGTGAACTTTAAAAATGAGCTACAATTACCTGTGTAATGAAAAGGAGAAAATCAGAAGAATTGTCTTTACCTCAAGCAAAGTAACGCTCCGTTTCCTCAGACTCACAACAGCAGCTCCGCTCCCATCAGCTGATCAACACGCCTGACTTCACAAACGTCCATTCAGCAAAAACATGAAGTGCAGGCGTGACGCAAAAAGTGGTTTCCTAGAATCTCTAGCTGCAGAAAAGAACATGTATAGAGGCCAAATTAAGCCAGTACACGACTGTATAGGCGCCAACATGGTCAAATACAGCAGAGGGCGGGGCTAGTGTTTTTACTCCAGTAAATGTTTCTCATGGTAGGTTCATTTTTAAAGTTATTACCTGTACAGCAGTGGTCGCCAACCCATCGATTGCGATCGACTGGTAGATCTTTATCACTGTCCCAGTAGAT